AGCAGCAGCAGCAACAGCAGCAGCAGATTCCACAGCAACAGCAGAACAAGCGCTGCCCCTGCATCAGGCAATAAGGCAAACCACTGGAGCGGCTCGGAGGAGGGGTACTCTGTAGATCCTTCGAGCAACAGCAGCAACAACAGCAGCAGCAGCAGCAGAAGCAGCAGCAACAGCAGCAGCAACAGTTGCAGCAGCAACGGCAAGAGCAGCAGCAGCAACAGCAAGAGCAGCGGCAGCTGTAGCAAAAGCAGAAGCTCCATCGAAGTCAGCAGGATCAGCGACGTGAGTTGCACCGGCAGTAGCAGCAGCAACAGCAGCAGCAGCACCAACACTAGCAGCAGCAGCAGCAACAAAAACCTCCTGCAGTGGGCTCCATGATGAGGACATCGCCTATGGTGAAACGGCCTCACGGGTCAGAGGAAGCAGATCAGCAGCAAGAGCAGCAGCAGCAACAACAAGGGCAGCAGCAGCACGGGCAGCAGCAGCAAGAGCAGCAGCAGCAGCAGCTGCTGGAAAGCCAGCAAGAGAAGAAAGAGGAGCAGCAGCAACAGCAGCAACAGCAGCAACAACAGTTTACATCTTTTGACCCAGACGCATTTGTTGCCATGTGAGTGCTTCGCTTCGGGTAGAGTTGGAAGCAGTTGCTGCTGCTGCTGCTGCAGTTGCTGCTGCTGCTGCTGCTTATCAGCTGCAGCTGTACAGTGTGGGGTGTGGGGTGTATGTACAGCGTGATTGGGTCCTCATCTTTCGCTCCCTTGAAGCGCCGCCTCTTTGTTGATGGAGCAGTTGTTGAGGAAGTGAGCTGCTGCTGCTGCTGCTGCCGCTGCTGCTGCTGCTGCTGCTGCTCTTCTGCTGATGCCGTTGCTGTGGCTGCTCTTGATGCTGTTGTTGCTGTTGATGCTGCTGCTCTTCCGCTGATGCCGTTGCTGTGGCTGCTCTTGCTGCTGCGGCGGCTGCTACTTCTCGGCGGCTGCTGCTGCTGCTGCTGTTTGGAATTGCTGTTACTGCTGCTGCTGCTGCTGCTCTCACTGTTGCGTTTGTTGCTGCTGTTGTAGCTACTTTTGCTGCTTCCGTCTCTGCTCTCGTTGCTTCTGTTGCTGGTGGTGTCGCTGCTGCTGCTCCTTCCACTGCACCGCTGGTACCCTTGCTGTTACTGCTGTTGCTGCTGCTGCTGCTGCTGCTGCTGCTCCTGTTCACTGTGCCCCGTGCAATTGCTGCTGCTGCCGCTGCAGCATCTCTCTACTGCGGAAGCGAAGGAGAGTTTGCTGCAGTTAATTCAGAGCCACCCTCACGTATTTCTTGGTGAGCTCTTGCTGCTGCTGCTGTTGCTGCTGCTGTTGCTGCTGCGCCCCTCTTGCTGCTGCTGCTGCTGCTCGGAAACCAGCAGCAGCAGCTTCTGGCTGCCAGCGCTCACCATTGGCTGCTGCGCGTCGAAGTTGGCGAAGCTGGGGTTTACGATTTGGGGATCTCGGCTTTAGGGTTTAGGGTTTAGGGTTTAGGGTTTAGGGTTTAGGGTTTGTGAGCTCAGAGCGCCACGGGCGGCTGCTGCCAACGGAGGCTGTGCGGTGTCTCGCCAGACACTTCGAGGGGCGGCCGGAAGTCCAGGTTTGCTTCTGCTGCTGCTGCCGCTGCCGCTGCTGCAGTTGTTGCTGCTGCTGCTGCAGCTACTGCTGCTGCTGCTGTTGATGCTGGTTCTGCTGCTTTTGCTGTGTGTATGTGCAGTACTACGTAGAGAAGCTGAGCGAAAATGATAGCAGCAACAGCAGCAGCAGCAGCAGCAGCGGTTCGCAGAAAGCTCCAAAGATCACAAAGGTGCTTGAGCTGCTGCTGCTGTTTCTGCTGCTTTTTATGCTGCTGCTCCTGTAGTTGCTGCTACTCATACTGCTGTTGCTGCTCCTCTTGTTTCTGCCACACCGTCGCTTTTGTTCGCAGCCCGAGTTGTTTTATTGCTGCTGCTGCTTCCTGCTGTGCCGCGAAATTGTTTTCTTGCCGTTGCTGCTGCTGCTGCTGCTGCTGCTGCAGGTGCAGCAGAACCGGCGGCTACAGCGCATGCGCCAGCTGCAGCAAGAGGGAACCTTCTTTTCTGAGGAAGCACTTAAGCGTGTAGAGGTAGGACGATAACCTGCAGCAGCAGCAGCAACAGCAACTGCAGCAGCAACAACTGCAGCAGTAGCAACTGCAGCAACAAAAACTGCAGGAGCAGGACCACATGCAGCAGCAGCACAGTTCATACGAGTAGCAGCCACAAACTTGGCTGCTCTTAATGTGGAAAAGCGTTGCTGCTCATGCTGCTGCTGCTGCTGCTTCTGCTGCTGCTGCTGCTGCTTCTGCTGCAGCCCGCGCTGTACGAGGAAATGGTTGGCCGCTTTGAATGCAGCTTCTCTCTTGCTGCTAGGCCGCCGACTGCAGCAGAAGCTGCAGCTGCAGCAGCAGATGCAGAGGCATCTGCTGCTGCTGCTGCTGCTGCTGCAGCCGCTGCAGCTGCCGCAGCAGCTGCGGCAGAAGCAGCAGCAACTGCAAAAGCAGCTGCCGCAGCCGCCGCTTCGCCGCCAGCTGCCCGCGTTCCCGACACCTCGGCTAGCTGCACCACTCTGGCAACGAGGAGCAGCAGCAGCAGCAGCAGCAGCAGCAGCAGCAGCAGCAGCAGCAAGGGAGGGGTGCTCTACAGCACCATGCTTGACCGCGCCTACGACAGAGAAGAAGAAGAAGAAAAAATAATAAAGCAGAAGCAAATTTGGAAGGCCCAGGAGCAGCAGTTCTATGCGCAGCTCAAACGCATGCAGCAGCAACAGCAGCAGCAGCAGCGGCAGCAGCAGCAGCAGCAGCAGCAGGCAGAAGGAGAGAACGTGGTTGAGCTGCAAGACGCCGGAGCAGCGGAAGGGAAAGTAGCAGCACCAGCAGCAAATGCAGCAGCAGCAGCACGGAGCGCAGAAAGCGACAAAAGAGAAGACGCAGAGAGGGAGCAGCAGCAGCAGCTAGAGGACGAGGAAGAGCAGCTGCAGCAGCAGCAGCAGCAGCAACGCGAGCAGCAGCAAAAGCAGCATGTGTCTGGAATCTTGGCTGAAGTAGAGCCATCGAGACGTGTAGAGCGTGGCGCTGCTGCAGCGCGGCAGCAGCAGCAGCAGCAGCACAGGCGACAGAAGCAGCAGCAGCGGCGGCGCCACGAGAAGCAGCAGCAGCAGCGGCAGCAGCAGCAGCAGCAGCTTTCGGATTGTGGAGAAGCTGAAGTGACGCAAATATCTCTAGAAGAGTTTGAAAACAACCGAAAAGTAAACCCCAAGTCCTAAACCCTAAACCCTAAACCCTAGAATAGATGAAAACCCAAATTAAAAAAGACGGAAGCGGTGTTTAGGAAAAAGCGGCGAAAGGGCAGGCGGGAAGCTGAGGAGCGCACCCAAACACTGCTGCTGCTGCCGCTGCTGCTGCTGCTGCTACTGCTGCTGCTGCTGCTGCTGCTGCTGCAGGACTTCATCGAGGTGATGCGTCTCCGCTTTCTAGCTGGCAATTTCCCCGGCGTGGATTTCGCCGCCATCGACGCCGACGACTCTTTAGACGACATCACCCAGGTGCTGCTGCTGCTGCAGTTGCTGCTGCTGCTGCTGCTGCTGCTGCTGCTGCTGCTCTTGCGCGAGGCCTTTGACGGGGCTGTGGGCCTGAGCCTTGGCTGCCCCCAACCTCACTGTGTCCGTGGCGGGCTGGCTAGCTGCTTGCTGAAGATAGCAGCTAGCTAGCCACAGCTAGCTAGCCATAGCTAGCTAGCCACAGCTAGCTAGCCAGCCTCCGATCGCTAGGTGCCTCTAGCTAGCTAGCTACAGGCAGCAAGCCGCAGCTGGGCGAGCTAGCCATCCACACACAGCTAGCCGCAGCTGGCTTGTTATGACTAGCTAGCTACAGCCAGTTAACCGCAGCTAGCTAGTCGCAGCTAGCTAGCCGCAGCTAGCTAGCCAGGACTAGCTAGCCACAGCCACACAGCCATGGCTAGCTGGGCTTTTGTGCTTGCAGGCAAACAGGGACCTTCAGGACGCATACTTCGACGCCGACTGAACCTGAGCAGTGCGGGAATTCTTGGCTAGCTAGCTAGCTAGCTCTCTAGCTGGCTAGCTAGCTGGCTAGCTAGCTAGCTAGCTGGCTGGTTAGCTGGCCAGCTAGCTTGCTGGCTAGCTAGCGAGCTCTCTAGCTAGCTTGCTGGCCAGCTAGCTTTATGGCGAGCTAGCTTGCTGGCTAGCTAGCGTGCTGGCTAGCTAGCCAGCTAGCTAGCTAGCTTGCTGGCTAGCCAGCTTATTGGCTAGCTAGCTAGCTAGCTAAGTAGGGGAATAGTAAACTGGCTAGCTAGCCAGCTGTGGGGCAGCTGGCTATATCTTTATTAGCTAGCGTGGGAGGCAAACAGCTGGCCAGCTGCACAGCGTGCGACGTGACGCCCAGGAATTCTGTTGCTGCTGCTGCTGCTGCTGCTGTTTCAAGAGCAGCAGCAGCAAAGGGATGACGGAAATCGAAGTAGCAACTGGGCTCAGGGCTAAAGGCCCAGGGTCTAGGGTTTGGGGGTCAAGACCTGGACCACGCCGCAGCAACAGCAGCAGCAGCAGGAACAGCAGCAGCAGCAGGAACAGCAGCAGCAGTGGCAATCGTCGCAACAGCCCCACTAGCTGGGTTTGCATGCTGCCCCTGTCCTTTAGTTTAAGTGGACCCCGGGTGCATACGGCAGCAGGACAGGAGTTCCCCCCGCTGCTGCTACGGCTGCTGCTGTTGGTGTTGCTGCTGTTGGTGTTGCTGCTGCTGCTGCTGCTGCTGCTGCTGCTGCTGTTTGCCTAGCGCAGCTAGCTACAGGCACTGTGCGTTTGCCGCATAGGGCTAATTCTCATCTACAGATGGGCACTCAGAGTGTTCCGCGTGGCGGCCGTGGGGGTGTAGTGGGTTGCGGCTTGACGGCGAAGACAGAAAGGTGGCGAAGATTCGTGAAATTTATTTTAAAATGAGAAACAGTCTCAAAATATAGTTTAAAAACTAGTTGGAGTGCTGCAGGGTCTCGCTGGAAGCCTTTAACTCTGCGTTTCCAGTTTCTGCAACGCGGAAACATGAACAGGTAGCCGCTGCCTGCGGCGGCTGCTGCTCGCTCGCCGCGATCTGAAGCGGAAAAACGGTAAAAGGGAGGTAAATAGTTAAAAATAAAATACTTCTTTGTATTCTCGTCGAAAAACTGAAGACGGCCGGCGCTTTCTTCGATTTCCCCGGCTTTCCCAGTGGCGCTGACGACGTGAAGGCGGCGACGCTCGAGTTCCTGGAAGCCGCTCGAGCTCGCCAGCCCGTCTTTGTTTTGCTCAAATAACTCAAAATAAATATTAAAATTGCAGATTTTAGACTTATTTTGGGGAAATAAGAAGAATTGAGTGCCGAGTAGCTGCGGCCGACGAGCGCAGCTGCAGCCGCAGCAGCCGCGGCATCGGCGGCGCCTTCCGTGCTGGGATTTTCCTGATCTGCGCTTCAACGCTTGGATTTTTTGTTTATTTTTCCGTTTAAACTGTTTCTAAATACCATTTAAACCGAAAAGAGCTCGTTTGAACCGCGACTTTGGCGCTTTTCCCCCCTGCGGTGGCGGCGCCGTGTGCACAGCAGCAGCAGCCAGCACACAGCTGCTGCTCGCGCCTGTCTCGCTCCAGTTTAAATATCTGTCGCAGTCCTTCTCCGTTTATTTTGCATTTTGTTTTCTTAAAACAGCAAACAGACACCACAGCCCCCATCCTAGGCAGGGAGCTGCTGCTGTGTGCTTCGCCGTCACCGCGCGCCGTAGCAGCAGCAGCAGCAGCAGCAGCAGCACTCCTTTTCTCTGCAGCAGGTACTTTCATCTGTCTAATTACCCTTTTTGAAAGGCTCAGGTGCAACTACACAGCAGATTCGCTGCTGCATGCACGGAGGGAGCGCCACGCACACACACGATCGCAGCAGCAGCAGCTGCAGCTGCAGCAGCAGCAGCAGCAGCAGCAAACTCAGCAGCAGCAGCAGCAGTAAGCAGCAGCTACAGCAGCAAAATCGGGAATCTTCGCTGCAACTGCAGACAAAGCTCTCCTCGAAGCAGCAGCTTGAGCAGCAGCCGCAGCGCCCGCAGCTGCTCCAGCAGCCGCAGCAGCAAACAAAGTAGCAGCTGCAGTGGCTGCAGCCGCAGCAAAGCCAGCAGCAGCAGTAGGTGCAGCAGCAGCAGCCTGCGCTCAAGAAGCACCTTCCAGCCGCATTGAAGGATTCCACCGCGTACATTAATCGCAGCGCATCAACACAAGCAGCAGCAACGAGATCGGCAGCAGCAGCAGCAACAGCAGCAGCAGCAGCAACAGCAGCAGCAGCAGCAGCAGCAGCAGGCCTTCTCCTTTTCTAGGGGGCCCCAGGGCCCCCCCATTTAGGGAGAATGGACGGCCAAAGAGATCGCTGCTATGTGACATTTCACTGTCTTTGTCCGGACACCAAGCTCGGCAAGCAAACCCTAAACCCTAAACCCTAAACCCTAAACCCTAGCAAGGCGACTACTTCGTGCAGAAAGAAGCTGCGGCCGTCGTTTTTCTGCGGGATTTTTGTCCTTGCACTTTCAAGTTGCTGCTGCACTTAATCATGTTTATTAATTTATTTTTATTTATTTATTTACTTGTTTATTTGCTGCAGGAGAAGAGCTGTGTCTGCTGGGGGATGCGCCGGCGCTGGGCAGCTGGCAGCTGCGGGAGCGTTTGCTGCTGTCCACTTCTGCTGCTGCTTTTCCTCTTTGGGTTTCTGCTGCTGTTTCCTTGCCAGTGAACACTCCAATAAAGTACAAGTACATCGTGGCCCCTGCCTGCTGCTGCAGCAGCAGCAGCAGCAGCAGCAGCGGCGGCGGCGGCGGGAGGCGCTGCTGCAGCTGCAGCAGCAGCAGCAGCAGCTGCAGATGGGAAAGCATCAAGGGACATGACGACTCCGGAAACCGCCTCATTCGACTCACACCTGGCAGCCAAGAACTCTTCGACAGATTCGGTTTGCTGCTGCTGCTGCTGCTGCTGCTGCTGCAGTTTCAGCCTGATGCTGCTGCTGCTGCTGCTGCTGCAGTTTCAGCCAGCTGCTGCTGCTGCTGCAGTTTCTCCCGCTGGTGCTGCAGTCTCTCTGGCTGCCGGTGCTGTCTCTCCTGCTGCTGCTTTTGCTGCTGCAGTTTCTGCTGCTGCTGCTGCAGTCTCTCCTGCTGCTGCTGCAGTCTGTCCTGCTGCCGTTGCTGCTTCAGCCCAGTGGGCTGCTGCTGCCAGTTCTTTTCAAGCACTTGTCTTGAGAGTTTATCAAATAAATAAGTATTTATTATTATTTATTTATTATTTAATTTATTTATTATTTATTTATTTATTTCGAATTTGCTGCTTCTGTCTTCAGGCCAGTGCGACTTCCCGCCCTTGACAATGGGCGTTTCGCCTCACCCGCTGCTTTCCCCCCTCAGCAGCAGCAGCAGCAGCAACAACAGCAGCAGCAGCAGCAGCAGCAGGGGAGACCTGGAGAGCAGCAGCAGCAGCAGCAGCAGCAGCAGCTATCCGTTGAGCCTTTTTGCTGCGAAGCCGAACCATGAGGGGCTGCTGAAGTTGAACTCGACGAGCAGCATCAAGGTGGGGGTCTGGGGGCTCATTTTTTGCGGATTTGGATGAAATTTGTTCATTTTTATTCATTTTTGTTTATTTTTATTTATTTTTATTGTTTTAAATCGTTTTTTGCGTTTATTTCCGCCTTTTAAATCGAATTTCCCGCTCGCAGGACCCCGGCGCTCCCCAGGACGCGGCCGTGCGGCTGAAGATGCTCAAGTCCATTGAGCGCCTCTGCAAGCTGAACTCCGGCCAGGTAACAGCAGCAAATTAATTTATTTATTTATTTATTTATTTATTATTTATTTTATTTATTTATTTATTTATTTTATTTCTTTTGCCGTTTGTTTTGCACTCATTTCGCGGGTCTGGTCCTGCGCCGGCCCTGCAGGTCGGGGATTTGCGCGAGACGGTGGAGAGGAGCCACACGGAGCTGCTGCAGCAGCTGGTGGGCAGATTAAATAAATAGATAATTTAACAGATTAATTAATTAATTAAAAATAATAAAATAAATTAATTAGTTTTTAAAATCCGGAGAATAAAGCCCTCGGCGCAGCTGCCTGCTTGTCTTTTTCTTGTTTCGCTGCTGCAGAAGACAGACGGCACGAAGCAGCGTTCCCAGCTGGAGGATGTTTCTTCCGCTGCTGCTGCTGCTGCTGAGGCCGCCGGAGCCGCAGCAGCAACAGCAGCAGCAGCTGCTGCTGCGGACGCAGTGGCTGCGGCAGTGACTGAGACAAAGCAGCAGCTGCAGCAGCAACTGCAGGAGCTGCAGCAGCAGATGCAGCAGCAGCTGCAGCAGCAGCTGCGAGAACAGCTGCAGCAGCAGCTGCAGCAGCAGTTGCAGCAGCTGCTGCGGGAACAGCTGCAACAGCAGATGCAACAGCTGCAGGAACAGGCTGCAGCACTTTTGGAAGAAACTACGCGGCAAGCAGCAAAGCAAATAGAGGCAGCAGCTGCAGAGCGGCTGTCGCTGTCCGCAGCAGCAGCAGCAGCAGCAGCAGCAAATGCGAGGGGTGAAGAAGCCCTGCAGTCCCTTGCTGCAAGTGTAGGAGGTGTGCAGAAGAAATAAATAATTCAAAGTAGCATTTTAAATAATTAAAAATAATTAAAATTAGAAACTAAAATTAATAATTTTGCTTTTGTTTAGTAGCCTTTTCTGTGCTGCTTCTCCACTTGCGCGTTGCTGCGGCTGTGCGTGTGCTGCAGCAGCAGCAGCAGCAGCAGCAGCAGCAAGCGACTCAGCGTCTTCCTGCGGGATATTCCCCTTCAGCTGCCAGTCGAGCCGCTCGACTTCTGCTGCTGATCCTTTTCAAATGAGGGATCCAATTAGAGACCGAGAAAATGAAAAAGCAGCAGCAGCAGCAGCAGCAGGAGAGCGGGGAGTAGAGGGGAGCGAGCTGTGCATGCAGCACAAGCTGCAGCAGCAGCGCAGCAGCAGCAGCAGCAGCAGCGACACGGAGAGCGACACGGACCTGTCGACAACGGCAACAGCAGCAGCAGCGGCGGCTGCTGCTGCAGTGGCGGCCGCGGATCCGGCGGTGACCGCAGCAGCAGCAGCAGCAGCAGCAGCAGCAGCAGACCTCTCGCTGCAGCTGCCCCCAGAAGCCCCTGCTTCTGCAGAACTCCTCGAAACCATTCTCACCAGCAGAGACATTTCTCCAGACTTGTCTTGGATTCATTTAACTCTTCACGAGTTGAAGAAGGAGGCCTGCAGCAACAGGCAGCTGCTGGGCTGGATCTGCAGGCACCTCGACCAGCAGCAGCAGCAGCAGCAGCAGCAGCAGCGGCGCGCTGCAGCAGCAGCAGACGCAGAGACCTTCCACATCTTCACGCCCCTCGTCCTCAGCAGACAAACCAGCGACGCTTCGCTCTCCGACTCCCCCTCGCCCTCGCCGCCCCGCAGCAGCAGCAGCAGCAGCAGCAGCAGCAGCAGCAGCAGCAACAACAACCGCAGCAGCACGAAGGAAGTGGTGCTTGCGCCCCCGGGCTCCCCCCGCGGAGTCGTGGAGACTGCGAGCATCAGCATGGCGAAGAGCCGCCAGAAGTTCACCAGCAGCAGCAGCAGCAGCAACGGCAGCAGCAGCAGCAGCAAGCCGCAGCAGTCCCACTACTTCCCCAAGATCCACACTGCAGCAGGAGACCAGGACTGGGAACAGTACATCAGCACTAACAAGGGAGTGCGAAAGGAAGTGGGATAAACGTGGCTAGCTGGCTAGCTAGCCAGCTAGCTAGCCAGCTAGCTAGCTGTGGCTAGCCCTGGCTAGCTAGCTGGCTGTGTATAGCCGGCTAGCTGTGCTGGCTGCGGCTAGCTAGCTGGCTGTGTTTAACGAGCTGGCTGTGGCTAGCTAGCCAGCCGTGGCTAGCTAGCTAGCCGTGGCTAGCTAGCTAGCTGTGGACAGCTGGCTAGCTAGCCGTGGGTAGCTAGCAAGCTATAGAGAGAGGGATGGCTCGCAGCGCAGCTAGCGACGGCTAGCCAGCGCTGCCAGGCTGGAGGCGGCTAGCTAGCAGTGGCTAGCTAGCTGTGGAGCTAGCTAGCTGTGGCTAGCTAGCTGTAGGGTTAGCTAGCTGTGGCTAGCTAGCTGTGGGACTAGCTAGCTGCAGCCCAACTAGGCATGGCTAGGCAGCTCGGATGCAGCTAGCTAGCTAGCTAGCAGCTAGCCAGCAAGCTAGCTAGCTAGCTAGCTAGCTAGCTAGCTGCATGTAAGAAGGGCTGCGTGAACGAAAGAAAAAGAAAAGTGAAGGCGAAAGAAGGCAGTGGTTGGAGTGTCGCGTTTGTGCGTGAGTCGGGGTGTACGTACACCTCGGAGGAGCGGCAGTTGGGGTTTATTTTTATTTTTGTTTGCATTTATTTCGCAGTTTGGAATTAAAACTGTATTTTTATTTGTGAAGAGAAAGAATTTGCGTCGCGTTTGTTTTATGGGTGCATCGACTTGGGGTGTATGGGCAGCTCGGGTGTATGGGCAGCTCGGGTGTATGGGCAGCTCGGGGTGTATGCGCAGCTGTCCGCTCGCGTTTCTCCAGTTCAGAAGAACTCTTTGCTTTCTTTTTGCCACTTTTCTTGGAATTATTCAATTAAAGTCCAGTTGTTGTTCAATTATTATTTATTTATTCTTTCTTTTCACCTTTTCTCGCACTTTGTTGCAATTTTAATTCGCTTGCGATCGGCACTGCCAAAGAACGGCTCCTGGCAACAAACGGACAATGAATTTATTTATTTCTTTTTTCTTTTCAACTAATTCACAGCCACTTGCTAGTCTTATTATTTATTTATTTATTTATTTTTATTATTTATTTATTTATTATTTATTATTTATTTTATTTATTTTAGGTACTTCTTTTGCTGCGGAGAGCAGCAGTAAAGAAAAATAGGAAAAGATATTTAGGCCATCCCCTGAGCTGCCGAGACAGCCCAGCAGCAAATTGGGAATTGAATTTAATGATTTAAACTTTTATTTATTATTTCAATTTATAATTCAATTTATTATTTATAATTCAATTTATTTGTTTTAATTTATTTTTCTTTTCACTCCAGCCAAAGCCTCCTGAGGGCGCGGGTGGTGATGACTCGCTGCAGCTCCGAGCTGTCTATACACTCCAGCGCCTCGACTTCGCACTTGCAGTTTTTCTCTTTCATTAATTTGCATTCATTTTTTATTTTTTCATTTGCTGCTACTCCGGGGTGCTGCAGCAAACTGGCTAGCAGCGCCTTATCTCTTTTCTCCAGCGGCAGCAAAGCGCTCGCGGGCACAGCAGCAGCGTCTGCGTGCAGCAGCCCCAGCCACCGCAGGCTGCTGCAGCAGCAGCAGCTGCTGCTGCTGCTGCTGCTGGGGCGGCCCCCGTATTTGTAGGTCAGGTAAATGTAAATGCCGTGGGGGTCCCAGTCGCCCACAAAGGCAGCCTGCAGCAGCAAAAAGATAAAATGAGATTGGCAAATAATAATTCTCAAATCAACTGCTCTATTATATTTCTGCTGCTGCTGCTGCTGCTGCTGCTGGTTGTGTGTGCTGCAGGGCCGTTTGGAGGCAGGGGCTGCTGCGGGTTAATTGGCTTTTTTGTGGATGATGAATTTGCCGTTTGGATTGTTTTATTTGAATTACAAAGTGCATTTAGTTGGATTTAATTTAAAATGTTTTATTCTTTAATTTTTAATTACCTCCAGCTGCAGCGACTGAGACAAATGCCCCAATAAAGCTCTTGTGCAAAAGTCCGGAAAGCCGCGGCCAGTAATCAGCACGCACGGCAGCAGCTGTACGTACACCCGAATTGCGCAACAAAAGAAGCACGCAGCAGCAGCAGCAGCAGCAGCAGCGGCAGCAGCAGCAGCAGCAAAGGTGAAACTCGAGAGCTTCTCACATTCCAAAGCTGCAGGCCACAAAGGGCCTGGAAGATGCTGTCTTTTTCAACCACAAGAAGATACTTAGCAGCAGAAGCTGCTGCTGCTGCTGCTGCTGCTGCCACCATGGCTTCGGATATCATCAGGCCGCTGCCTTTGAGCAAACAAAATCAGTCGCGGTCTTAAGGGTTTAGGGTTTGGGGTTTAGGGTTTAGGGTTTAGGGTGTAGGCCCATACTGACCGGAACTGCACGAGATCTCCGCGCCGTCGTCGTTTCGAAAGGTCACCAGCCCCGCGACAGACCCTGCAAATGACATATTATCGTGCTGCTGCTGCTGCTGCTGCTGCTGCTGTTGCTGCTGCTGCTGCTGCAGCTGCCTACCTCTTTCAGAAGCAAAGACAGACAGAGAGGCTCTCGGGAGTTCCAGATGGCCAAGCAAGTCCTGCGCATTGAATTAATTGAATTGTGTTATATTAAGTTGAACTAAATTAAATTAAATTAAATTCAATCAAATTTAATTAAATTCAATTAAATTTAATTAATTGAATTGAATTGAATTGAAAAAGAAAGATAGAAACGCGCACTTGCAGAAGGCGGTTCATTTGCTGCTGGTTTTTGAACAAGTCGGGGCTCTTGTAGTAGAGCTCTCTCTGGGTGGCTTTTTTTTTCTGTGTTTGATTAAATGAATTTAAATGAAGTAATTGAATTGTTTCAATTTGAATAAAGAAAATAATCCCAGCAAATCGCACCTTCACGGCCAGCGTGTGGAGGTGGTGGATCAGCGCAGCAGCTGCAAATCGGAATCTTCTTGAAATGGAAAAGGAAGCAACAAAAAGCATTACTTTTTGCAATTCTTTCGAAACGCGCCATTCTCAATCCCGGAAGTTTCTTCTTTGTATTTCCACTGGTGTTATTTTCTTTTTCCGAGCAAATGAATTCAAGAATGTCGAGTACGCATTGTTCAAGAGCTGCAGATACACCTGAAACGCGGCGAGACCTGACTCAGGAAAATGACGGAAACTCGCAAGCAATTCACTTGTTTCTCCTTCTCCGTCCATTGTCGTTGAGAGAATAGTCAAAGAAGTCAATCTGGGAAAAAGAAAAACCAAAAAAAGTATATAATGGCGTCACCTGTTGCACCCAGCAGCAGTTGCTGCGGAAAGCTCAGCGTACACCCCAAATCCTCGCGCGTCACAAACGCGAAATCTCGTTTTTCTTTTTCATTTATTTGTTTTAATTTAATTTAATTGTTTTCATTTAGTTTCCACGGCTTCTCCTGGGTTGCTGCTGCTACAGATCACTGAAATGTCTGCATGCGTTTGCAGTTTCTGCCGCCACGCTCTGCACGTTTGCTGGATTCAAGCTCGACTTGAAGTCAATGCATTTTAATTCTTGAAGACGAAATGCACTTTAACTTCTCATCAAATTAGTTTTTCAAATTAGAAATAAAACGCTTTTCTGCAATTGCAGAAGCTGGCCAAAAGCCACACGAAAAAAACTGGCGGACAAAGGGGTTTATCTTTTGCAAATTAAATGCTAATTAAATAATTTTCTTTTCAAACAGAAGTTCCTTTGCTTCTTCTCCGCGGCCTCTACTTGCGGCTTCTCTTTGTTTGCTGAGTCCCTCTGCTGTTGTCCTGCGGGTCTCCTGCTGCTGCTGCTGCTGCTGCTGCAGTTGCTGCTGCGCAGCGCAGCTGGCTGAAGTTTGCTGCAGCAGGTGAAGCAGCAGAAGGCGCAGCGCAGCGCCGCGAAGAGCAGTAAGAAGGCAAATAAAAACGCTGCGCCTTTTATTTTCTTCTTCATTTTAGTTCTATTTTAAATCCAGAAAAGATCGGAAAAGAAAGCAGCAAAAGCAGCGCATCCCGGGAATCGAAGCAGCAGCAGCAGCAGCAGCAGCTGCAGCAGCACGGAGAAACGGGAAAAAAGCGGGTCAAATCCGGGCGAAAGAGAGGAGCAGCAGCAAAGCTCGGGCTTTGCTGCTGCTGCTGCTGCAGCGAGCAGCAGCAGCAGGGCGCTGCTGCTGCTACTTGTTGGCCTTTTTGGAGTTTTTACCTTTTTCTTTTTCTGCACTTTTGCTACGGCTCTTCTGCACCCGCCGCAGCAGCTCGGCCCTGGAGAGAGGCCTGGAGTCCATTTCGTCTTCTTCTGAAGTGTCTGTACTGTTGGATCTGTTGAGAGCAGAAGGAGGTTTAATTTGCGGGCTGGCCTTGCTGCTGCTGCTGCTGCTGCTGCTGCTGTTTTTTTCGGGGTTTTTTTCGGGGTGTTTTGGGGTGCGGGGGGGCGGGGCCGGGGTGTCTGTACAGTCGGTTTGCTGCTGCAGCAGCTGCTGCAGCAGCAAATCGACGGCTTCTTCAACAGCTCGCAAATAATTAATTATATTTATTTCTGCTGCTGCATCTTCTTTGGCCCAGAGCTGGTCCTTGTACTTGTCTGCTGCTCCGACCAAGGTGAACATACACCTGGCGCTGCTGACGATCTGCTGCAGCTGCTGCGCTGCTGCTGCGTTTGCTGCAGCGAGCTGCTGCGCACGGCTTTCGACAGCAGCAGCTTGCTGCTGCTGCTGCAGACTCTCCTGCAGCTTCTGCCTGCACGTTTGCTGCTGCAGCTCCGTGAAGAAGTGCAGCTGCTGCCGCAAACTTTGGATTGCTGCTTCCTGAGCTTCCTGCTGCTCCCCCAACTCATTAACATAATTGAAAAGAGAAAAGTTGTGTTCTTCAGCAACTTGAAATGCTGCAGCAAGTTGCTGCACGCTGCTGATGCCTGTGGCAGCTTGAATCTTGGCAAAAGCAACTTTGTAGTTCCGGATTTTGCAAATGCTGCTGAGTCCTTCTTCAGGGCTTTCCGACTTGCTGCTGCTGCTGCTGCTGCTGCTGCTGCTGCTGCTGTGGGCTTCGGTTTCGCACTCCGCGGCGCGGCGCGCCTCGGCGTCGCGCTGCTGCTGCTGCCGCCGCTGCTGCTGCTGCTGCTGCTGCTGCTGCTGGCGGGTCCAGTGGCGCAGCTGCAGCCCGTCGAGCAGCTGCTGCAGGTCGGCCCACTCGCTCTCGAAGCTGCGGCGCTCTTTGGCCTCCTCGGCCTTGAGAGCAGCAATTTGCTGCTGCGCTGCTTCTCGAGCAGCAAAAGCAGCAGCAGCAACTTTGATGAGAGAAAGGACTTGGCGCTTTTCTGTCTGCAAGTCTCCCTGGGCCTTTTTAAAAAGCTGCTGGAAGGTCACCCGCTCGCGGCGCAGCCCGTCGATTTGCTGCTGCAGCAGCTTGTTGCGAGCAGCAGCTTGGCTTTGCTTCTGCAGCGCCTGCTGCAGCCGGTTCTCCAGCACTTGCTGCTGCTTCGCAAGTGAACCACTGGTCACCTGGTCTGCGTAGACGCCGCCGCAGGCCCCCAGCTGCTGCCTGCTGCTGCGGAGGCGGGCCTCGAGGAGGCTGCGGCGCTGCAGCAGCTGCTGCTCCTCGCGCTTTGCTGCTGCAGTGCGCCGCAGCAGCTCGCAGCACTGCTCGTTCAGCCCCTGCATGCGCGCCCCCAGCAGCAAGTTCTGCTGCTGCGACAGCGCCTCCCGTGTCTGCTGCAGCTCGCTCTTCAGTGCAGCATTTTCGCTCTTCAGCTTCTCCAGCGCGCGCTGCTGCTTCCGTAGCCGCCCCTGCGCTGCTTCCCCGAAGGCCCGCGCCTCCTGGGCCACCAGCCGCAGCTTCCGCCGCAGCTCCGTCACTGCAGCAGCAGCAGCAGCAGCAGCAGCGTCTTCACCTGCTTCCATTCTCCCCCATCAGTCTGCAGGCCGCGGGATTCGCCGGGCGGCCGGCCGCCCGCCCATCGCCTCCGCCGGGGTCACTTCTGCCCGCCGGAGAGGAGCTCCGCGCTGCTCTTTCTCCCGATCCCGCTGAATGTACACCTCAGCTCGCTTCTTTTCGACAATTAATTGCGCCTTTCCACTTTTTCCGACTCTTTTCTCCCAACTCGGCCCCAGAGAACGGCCCCCCAGCCGCCGCACCGCCCGACTGGGGCCCCGAGCAGCGACCGCAGCCCCACCACCCGCGCCTCCCGCCCCCCATTTTCCCGTTTGTTTCCCCCCCCCGAACTCCAAATTAAAACTTCTGAAAGCTCTTCCCGTCTTCGAGTCCTGCGACGCAAAAGGCCGCCGAGGTGTACGCACGCCGCGCCGCTTCCCGCTGCTGCTGCATGCAGTTGGCGCCGCCGCCTCGCGAGTCGCCGCTGCCTATTCAACTTGTGCTCCCAAGACCCAAATAATGCATTTATTTCCGAAAAATACCTTTTCACGGACTCTGCCTTGCGGTTTTCGCAGTTTCACGCGCCTCTCCCCAGCCAGGGTCCACCATGCCCGCCCCGGTGGTGTCCTACTTGAACTACCCGATCTACTCGGTAACTTCGCCTTTTTCCGCTTTTTCTTCCCCCAGAGTGAATTAAATTACTTTTTCTACTCTTAATCCCGGAAGATCGCTCTCGAGACCTGCGCTTTCCGCCTCGTTGGGCGGCTGTCTGCGTGCTGCGCCCAGGCGGCGAGCGACGGCACGTTCATAGTCACTTCCGGCGGCGGCGGCGGCAAAGACTATGGAATTGAAGACAAACTGGTGTGTATGTACACTTGATTGTTGGAAAAAGCCAAAGAGAAAGGCCGGGGGGCCCAGGAGCCGAGTTGAACCGCAGCAGCAGCTGGTTTGCTGCTGCTGCGCCTGTCTGCTGCTGCGGCTGCAGGAAGCACACACCTACAACCCAGAGACACAGAAGATCGTCACAATCGACGCGGCAGCAGCAGGCTGCGTGGTGGACTCCATTAACTACAACTCAACAGTAGGGCTGCTCAACCAGCAGCAGCAGCAGCAGCAGCAGCAAAATGGTTTAAATGAACAAATCTTTTGCTGCATGCGACTGCAGGTCAATCTCTTCTGCGGCTGCAGCGACAGAGAATGTCTCATAATGAAGGTGGACGACAGCAATGGGTGTGTAGACAGGAGTTCAAAATATTTCAAATTTTACGATTTTAAATCCATTTTTATTCATTTTAATTCTTTTAAACGCCATTTTTTAAAATGTATTCATTTAAAATGTACTTTTATTCGTATTTATTGTTTTAAACTGCTTTTTTTCGACAAAAATGCCATTTCAAGTTTCGCGCAGCTGCGCTTCCCCTGCGGTGTATCGACACAGCTTGCAAATTCTGCACCGCTTCGGAACCGAACAGACAAAGAAACGCCTCGTGAGGACTCGCAGCAGCAGCAGCAGCAGTAACAGCAGCAGCAGCAGCAACAGCAGCAGCAGCAGCAGCAGCGGGGCCGTCCTGGTGCCACAGAAGGCCGGCGGCCCCCCGCGCCTGCATTTATGGTTTAATTTGCTTTAAAATGTTTTACTTGAAATAAAGAAAAAACTTCTTTTCAATTAAATAAATTCAAATTCAAATTTCCACTTCTTCACTGCTGCAGATCGTCGCCAGATTCTCCCCCTCCGGCGAATATATCATTTCCGGCGGGGAAGACAAAATCTTAAGGTCAGAATAAACCCAATTGGGGGCCCCTAGGGGGCCCCAGGGGCCCCCAAAGGTTCCTAGGGGCCCCCCTGGGGGCCCCCCGAGGCCCCTGGGGGCCCCTGGGGGTCTCTGGGGGCCCCTATAGGCCCCTTGAGGCCCCGGGGGGTCTTCAGGGGCCCCTTGGGGGCCCCTGGTGTCGTTCTGGAGTTCTCAGGGGCCCCTTGGGCCCCTTGGGTTCCTTTGGGGTCTTGGGGGGCCCCCTGGGGCCCCCAGGTCGATGGGGGGGGCCCCTGGGGCCCCCAGATCGTTCGAAAGGCCCCCAGGGGCCCCCGGGGGCCCCCGGGGCCCCTGCAGCAAACCCTGCCTGAGGGGGCCCTTGCTGATAAAGCTGTAGGATTGGCTGGTCTGGCTGCAGGGTTTATTGCTGCTGCTGCTGCTGCTGTCGGTGCTGCTGCTGCTGCTGCTGCTGAAGGGTGTGGAGGGTGATAGTTGAGCAGCCGCAAGCGAAGGAAACTGCAGCAAGCCAGCAGCAGCAGCTGCAGCTGCAGCAGCAGCAGCAGCAGCAGGAAGTCCGCACAGAGTTGGTGTCTGAAATTCAAGCCAGCATTGGCGACATAAGAGATGTCACTATGAGCGACGACTCCCACCTGGTGGCCCGCAAACCCTGCACAAACCCTAAACCCTAAACCCTAAACCCTAAAC